CGGGATGGTCGTGCTCGCAAGAAGCCCAGTTTCTCTCGAGAGGCCGATCCGCGCTTTGGTCAAGGCGAGTAATCGGTAAGAACCAATGGCGAGTAGAGGAATAGCTCCAGTGAGCAGGCGTGGCAGGAAGCGTGTGACGTAATAGTGCCATGGAGAGACCTGGTGCCGCAAACCAGAGCAAGTGTCAGTTTTTGCCCGCTTTACTTGGCAGAAAATGGATTCTGGGCCATTTCGACTCACACCCCAGTCCGAGCTTTTCCCCTCAACCACATTGAACAGCACAGCTTCAAGTTCGGCCCAAAGCAGGCCTTTTCCTGCCTCGATCGTCACGAAAGCTCTATCCCAGAGGTACGTGTCTAGCAGCACGGCGACCAATAGGAAGGAGATGCTCACCGAGGACGCCAGAAGTACTTTGCGCGTGCCCATTCGCATCCAAAGGACTGGTAGTATGCTGATGAGGATCCCAGCCAGTTCAGCCCTGCTTACGGCGCAGAGTGCTCCAAAGAGCGACAAAGCCCACCAGGAGGGCTGCGCGGAGAGAAGTGAGGCCAGTGCTATGTGGACTGTGTGCACACATGTCAGCTCATGGCCCTGTTCGGATGAAGCCTTCGCCTCAAGAGCCTTCACTTGCCTGCAGGTGCTGCGAGTCCATTGGGAGTGAATCTGCCAGCCCAAAAGTTGGCGTGGAAGAGCAAGCAGTGGATGATGAGGCTACCATTCCGCAAGTGGCTCGCCTGGCTCCAACTCAAAACGGCGTCAGCGCTCGACTTCTTGCTTGCAGACTTGATGTTGGGCGCCTTGAGCTGCGCGGCACCTGTATGGGCCAAAGAGGATGCGAGGGCGCTATAGAGGTGTCGAACGCTCCAGAGATGAAGCTCAGCGAGCAGTATGCGGACTGCGCAGCACGCTCCCTCTGTCAGTGCCTCGCGAAGCAATCTCAGCAGCGCATCAGCCCTTCACTCACTCACGTACAGTCTGAGCTTCGAAGCTATCCCTCACAACGCCAGCCAGTCGCAGCGCGAAAAGGACAGGTGCAGCGATAGCTGCAAACACAGCTGGCGGTAAGAAGCTCCTGGGCACAGCGCCAGGAAATTTCAAATGATCGAAGCGCCTCAAAGCATCCTGACGAATACTGGCATTTGATGCCAAAAAGGCATCCGATCCCCAGACGAGTACGTCGTGAATAGCTTGAGTACTGAATGATTCTTCAACTTTGGTGTGCGGCGCTAGGAAGATGGGCAGGATGTGCGACAAGTGTAGCAGAGCGCTGAGAGCTGGGGAAACGTCGGATAGAGACATGCTGCTGAGCCTCCGGCCTGTCATGGCATCGCTCGTATCCGCACAGAATGCGCGACTAGGCGGCCGCTGAAGCACAGGGAGAGCACGACTTGCCAGTCAGAGTGAAGATGGTATGCAAATCTGAATGTCGGACGATCCGGTCTTGGGTTGGCCGCAAGAGCTTTGATGTTGGCTGCATGGCTGCGACTTCACAGAAGCGACACTCACACTCAAGACTTTTGACTCGCAACTCATCAATCAGCCTTTTGACTATGTATGCATGCCGGCAGCCAAGAAGCTTCCTCACGCCTCGCTACTCGTGACTGCATGTGGATTTGTGT